CTCCCTCCCTCCCTCCCTCCCTCCTCTCTCCCTCTGCCTCATGGTCACTGTCTTACCACACAAGCTCTCAGCTGCTGCTCCAGCACCACGCCTGCATATCTGCTGCCATGCTCCCTGCCCTCAGGGTCACAGACTCTAACCCTCTAAAATGGTAAGTTCCAAATAAACTTATAAGTTGCCTTGGTCACAGTGGTAGAAAAGTAACTAAGACAACCTACCATGAAATGAATGGAGAAAGAGACTATGGTATGTGTGCACAGTGACATTTTATTCAGCCATAAGAAAAAAATGATGTCATTTGCAGGGAAATGGATGCAACTGGAGATTATCCTATTAAATGGAATGACTCAGACTCAGAAAGGCAAACATCACATGTTTTTCCTTATTTGTAGACCCTGGATTTCATGGAGATACATGATTCATAAATGGGTGGATACGGGACAAAAAGGTGGAAGAGAGGCTTTCTGGGGGAATAAATGAGAATGATGGGGATAGGAATAGGAAGGTAAATATAGTAAATGCAGTCAGCTATATGACATATATAAAAATGTCTATGAAACCCATCACTATGTACTGTGATTATACACCAATATGAATTGCCTACTGTTGGGAATCTCCAGTTGGGGAGGGCATTCCAAACCCCACCCAGACGTTCCCCTGGGAACTTGGTCCCACTCCTCCCATCCAGACCCCGCCCCAGAAAACCCACCAAGCAGTGCCCCCTCCCCCAGAGCTCAAGACCACACCTACAGGGTATTTAAGGTTTGGACCACAGACCCTCTGTGTAATTTCTCTCCTGCTTCCTCCATCCCCCCACCTCCACTGCCGAGAGTCACCCGGGAGTAGCCCTGCCTGATCTGAATTATTGCATCCGTGGACTTACCCACTACCAGGGGATTTTCAAAATACTTATCTATTAAGAGAGAAATTCTGGAGAAATTAAGTAGTCACTCAGATAGTGAAGAATAGTTTGGGTGTAAAAACAGCTCTTGATACATTGCTCAGGAGATAGTCTGTTGAGTATGAGCCCTCATCACAGGCACTGACCTGAGGAGCTCCAGAGAGCTGCCCGGGAGAAGAGTTCCACGAGACCATCCCACGTGAGAATGGGCTCACTCTCAGCTGATGCACACTCACCATGACAAAGACCTGTTTGTCCCTGGTCTAACTCGGCTGCAGATGTCATCCAACTTTTCTTCCCATAGAAAATCACTTTAATCGAAACTCTCCAAGTCCTCACTGGTGCTCACTTTTTTTTTTTTTTTTTTTTTTTTTGGTTTTTCGAGACAGGGTTTCTCTGTGTAGCTTTGCACCTTTCCTGGAACTCACTTGGTAGCCCAGGCTGGCCTCGAACTCACAGAGATCTGCCTGCCTCTGCCTCCCGAGTGCTGGGATTAAAGGCGTGAGCCACCACCGCCCGGCTGGTGCTCACTTTTCTAACCCCACTGCCTCTACCCCAAAGCCTTGCCTTGTGACTCTGTAGCTCTGGACAATTACCTGTGGCAGACTCACACTGAGCCAAGGTTTCCTTAAGACTGAGTGTCACTCTGTGAAGGTGTAATTTGGTCAACTTGTATCTTTAACCATGTTAGCATATATTCTTGGTCAATTCAAATATGAAGTCGAGCTCATCTAGGTAAGAAGAATACAAAGATTGAGATTTCTCTTGTTAACCAGGAAGGCCGCTCCATCTCCTGCTTACAAGGCTTAGAGACTAAAAGGGGCCGGACAGGCTTTGGGGGTTGTTGGTTGTATCCACTGTTATTAGTGCAATGGGGAAAATAAATACACTACAATTACTGTGTCCTGGTCTACATCATTGGCAGAGCCTGATAGGGCTGGTGAGATGGCTCAGCAGGTAAAGGCGCTCGCCACCACGCCTGCCCACCTGAGTCCAACCCAAACTCATTTGGTATGAGAGAACAGACTCTTACATGTCATCCTGTGACACCACACACACACACACACACACACACACACACACACACACACACACACACACACACCACAAACAAATGAATGTGAATTAAGTTCTAAAATCAGGACGGGGGAGGATAAAGAATTACACTAGAGTCTGGCACAGGTCAGCAGTGGGAGCAAGGTTAAACCTCCCCAACACATTTCTGTTGTTTCCTTATTTGACCACTGGTTCACACAGTTTTTATGAGAAGCTTATCCACATGACACGATTTGAACAAATGTTTTTCAAATGCCCCAAGAGCATGAGCATCCATTTCCTTACGGTCAGCACTGCTCTCCCAGCGATCTGTCAAAAGCCAACCTCTGTGCCATAGCAAATCTCCGATTTCTCTTTAAAGTTAAGTTCCTTTGGGGGGTGGGGGGTGGGGGGAGTTACTTGAAATCAGATAAAGGAAGGGTGGATTCCAGAAATGCCAGGCAGGAGATAAAGGTTATGCCTCTGAGCTGTGTCTGAGGTTGAATCTAGAATTGTGGATTCTTCTAGAAGCCAGATCTGCCACATTCCTATCCGAATCGCTCCTTACCCTGGGTAGATGAGGCTTCTCACAGGTTCTGGTTGCCCTGCGCCAGTGGCGGCCTGCGAACACTGGGCTGGAAAATCAGACCCCATCAGGATACATCCATTCCTTTGAGCGCCACCAGGAGCAATGATGCGGTTTCTTCCAAGCAGCTGTATTTTGTGGACACTGTGACCATGAAGCAGAGCAGCCCATCCCCCAAAAAACTGGTTTCCTATCTTACTGTGGGAGCTCTCCTTCCTACACGTGATCTTGCCATTGTGAGGCTATTCACCATGAAGCCTTCACCAGAACCCGGCAGAAGCTGCTCAACTGGGAGCTAAGTAAATGTCCTTCTTAATATGGCACTTAGCCTGGGGTATCTCATTATTGTCATAGACATGAACGAATATAACCCCCGCAATGTATCTTAGGCTCTGCTTCTAGGAATTTGACTCTTGTTTACTCCATCACTGTATTTAAAACACTACCAGCCCTACAGCTGTCGTTACATATCAACAAGAAAGGAAGATGCTGCCGAGGGAAGGCTGCCAGACCTTTCTACAGGGAAATCCTCATTTTAGGAGAGGAAGATGTGGGGAAATGAGCATCATGAACTAATTAAATATGACATGTACATACAGAGACGGCCTTGCTACTCTGCAGGCATCCTAAAAGATTCTGACTAGCCTTGCTGCAGAGCATGCTGACATATAGGCAAGTAATCCTGCCTTTATGCATAGTGATTTACAAACCTGAGACTCAGGTCTAAATAGAGTTTTAAAGGTATTTTACCTGTGGGTAAATTTTGTCATATTTCAAGACCTAAAAGGTAGCCGTATGGGGAAGGAGCTGTACCTTATAAATAGACAGATTTTTGTCAGAGTCTTTCAGCAAAATGATTGCTGTCCATAAAGTGAGATTTAGCCTTTGGGGATAGTTTCCGACAGGGGCAATAGTAAGGACAATTAATCTTCAGGGAAGCAACGTTCTTTCAGGATGAAGACAACAGTTTTTAGCATGACCACAGGGCTATACATGATTGTACTCCCAGATGCCTCTCCTCTCTCTCCCTCTCCCTCTCCCTCTCCCTCTCTCTCTCATGCCACTGGCACTCCATTTTGCAAAATGATCTTAGCAGCAGACGTCAACAGACACGAACCAGGAAAACATCATAATCAACAACAACAAAAAAAAAATAGTAAATGCAGTATCAACACTGTTGAGAATTCAACTGAAATGTGAGCAGGGGCTGGAAGGCAGCTCAGTGGTACAGCACTTGCTTTAACATATGTGAGGGCCTTGGGTTCCTCCAGGACTGGGAGCAATGGAGGAGTATACACAAACAGCTGTGATTTAGTGCAACATCATCGGGCAGCCATGCTATCACAAACACTTCCTGGCTGACAACAATTATAAGAGAACACTGTTTACAAGACACATCGCAACTTCAGAGAAGTTAGGATCAGATAATTAGGTTATCATTAACTTGCTGAAATATAATGTACCATACTTTGCTGTGAGGATAAGTACTTTAGCGTATATGGAGTGAATAGGTTATTCCTATGAATCTGGGACACATAACAGCTCTTCATTGTCTCCAAGAAGGTATTGTCACCTTGGGCAGGCAATCTTTGGTCACAGTGTCCTGTCTTTGGGGACTGACTATGGACACCAGGCCAACTAACATCTCCCCCGGAGAGTCAGCACAGTCCTCCGACAAACGCATTCTCTGCAGTGATGGAAGCAATCGGGAGCCTGGAGAGATGTAGACTTTTTCAACTGTGCAGAGGTGACATAAGATATGATGACCTCCTTCAGCCAGCCACATCTACAGAGAGAGAGTACAATGACTGGGTGCACAGAGTCTGGAACCGTGCAAGTCAGGAGTGAGGCTTGGCTATTTCCGGCTGTGGGATTTGGAGCAAGTTATTTCATATTGTTGTGCCTCAGTTTCCTTATCTATAAAATGGAGGTGCCATATCTGTATTTCATAGAATCTATGATGTTCTTGATTATAACAAATATCATATACTATAAAATAATAGCCGCCCAATCAAACTAAAGCATGAGTGCCCCAGAAAAATATCAGCACCGTGAAGGCAAAGGGTCTTATCTGCCTGTACACTGACACATCCCCTGAGCCCAGAACACCGCTTGACACTTGGTAGGAGCTCAGCACCTGGAGTTGAACAACTCAGTGCCTGATTCCACATGTGTTTAATAGAGTCGATAATAATGGGCTGAGAGAATTCCACTGTGGAGCAGAGCAACTATAAATAAAGCTATAATTGCCTACTTGCCCCTCTTCCCGCTCAGCCTTTTAAACACCCCCAACATGATGAGGCTGTTTTAGTGGAAATAAATGCTAGAAGCTGAAATTATACAATTAACTATGCTCAGCACAGATTTCAATAATTTATTGTTCCAAGGATGCTCACAGGTCACCTAGCAACATCAAAAGGAAAACACAGGTGTTTGGGCTCAGTTCACACTTGTTAACTAAGAAGATGAGCATTTTCCCCTTGGAAATTCTAAGTAGTTTTCAATGTACTCAAAAAAGGAGAGCTGGAGCCCAGGGGCTTTCGGCAACCCCTGTTCAGTCCCTTGCTCCTGGCCTTCAGCTCCTTTTGCACCTACATCATTTTATTCAGAGAGTAACAGTCTGAACCAAGGCTCCGTAATTTACCAGCCTTGTGACTGAGAACTGGAGAGATGGCTCAGTGGTTAGGAGCAGGGGCTCTTGCAGAGAACCACATGGCATCTCACAACCAACCATAACCAAAGAATAACCCAAACCATAACCCAAAGAATCTGCCTCCTCTTCTGACCTCCACAGGCACCAGACACACAGGAGGCGCGCGCACACACACACATGCAGGCAAAACATACACATAAAATAAAAATAAATAAACCTAAAACAAAAGCAAAGGAAGGACACACAGTGGACAAAGGACACAGTGGACACAGGAGGGACACACAGTGGACACAGGAGGGACACACAGTGGACA